GGTATGGTCGCAGTCTCCTTTCGATTTATAGAAGTGGGTTGACCTCGTTGTCGCAACTTGATCTTGTTGTTATGGAGACTTAGTAGAACGCACCTAGTCCGAATTCGTCTTCCATAGTAGTTGTCATGATTCCCAGCATCAGACACTGGACTTGGTACATTATCAAACGTTTCGCCGGCATCGTAGTCGGCATCATCAGTGAGTCCTGCCATTCTCCGCACCAAGCTAAGAACTCATTAAATAGACAATGAACGAGTTCGTAGCTTGGTGCGGAGAATGGCAAAACTCACTGATGATGCCGGCGAAACGTTTGAGAATGTACCAAGTGCCGTGTCTATGAATCATGACAACTACTATGGAAGACGAATTAGGACTAGGTGCGTTCTACTAAGTCTCCCTTACAACAAGATCAAGTTGCGACAACGAGGTCAACCCACTTCTGAAATTACAAAGGTTGTAAACAGTGTAATGAATGTACATTTTCTGAAGGAGTATATTTCGAAACTATCAATGGGTCATAAATAAGAACAGAAATCATCTTAGGTGTAGGCTTAATGGCCGAATTTTCTAATTGAAATGAATAGAATGCCTCTTGATGCCGTAACATTTTCTTTGGACCTATTTAAGCAAGAGATGATTAGGTAAAAACAATTAAAAGACAAAGCTGCTTCAGCTACGATGTGAGAGTATCAATGTAGTTTCAATCAAGTTGAGACAAAAGCGGAGATATGTCTAAGTTCAATATAACAAATGCGAGTACGCCTATAAAACAGAAAGCATAATTCGCATTTAATAATTGCATTTTAAAAAGCCGACAAAGGTATCCTTTCACTAAAAGAGGTATCGCATAATGAGGATAAATAATCAAGAATATGGAGTGGGAACCTACAATTTGAAGATACTTATTAAAATAATATATATGAATATTTATTACTAGTGCCACTCTTTATTAGCCAAAGACTAAGTTGAAAACTAGAACTATGAAATAAATTATCAAAAAATTCTAATAGAAGAGCTTATGGGGGAAATAGTTATCTTGTAGTTAATAATTTGGTATATTTATAAATGGAAAATAGTTACTAATTCATTTTTTGGGCAAATGTATCAAAAACAAAGCTAGTGGACAGAATTAATTTCTAAAAATAGAAGACTGAAACCCTCAGAATCAGAAAAAAAAGCACGAACGAATCCTATCAAATTATAACGTTAAATCTGTTGAGATAATAGCCCCAAAAGCTTATTTCCGAGTGGTACCCATGCATCATAAGTGATTTTATTGGCTTCATAGAATAATATATGTAGCATTTGTTATAACTAACTCGCCTAGACAATATTCCAGAATTTATCAGATTTATCAGGGCTGTGCCAATACTGGCACTTGGTCCGCAATTCGTTTTTCCGGAGTGCCCATCAGGAATCGAACAAGATTGAACACCACTCAACGAGAGGAGGCCATGTTTAGTCAGACATACTTCGACTCCGAGGCACTGAATTGCTGACTGGACAGAAGCAAGCGCGCGTTCAGCCATTTGAAGGTTATTTTCAGAGTCAGTATCACCAGTCAAGGCACCAGAACCTGTTTCCCCGGCACCTCTTCCATCAGACAGGCATTGGTCATAGTTAATAGGACTACCCGAGGCCGCGAGACTTGGAATCCTTTGAGCTTCAGTCGATATCATTGAGGGTGAGAATGAAGATTCACAAAGAGTGGATACAGCAGACAGAGATCCAGAGGTGGAAATAGAAGATGAAACAGGCATTACTGTGTTGAGAGAATGCCTAGAAAACAAAACTCCGCCATCGGGCTCCGAGGCAGATAGAGGTCTTGATCGAATAGGCACCTCTAATTTGACTTTCTCCTGTGATCCATGCGGTAGACTTTTAGATGCATGGAGCCTGCGAAGACATCGCCTGCGCCATATTTTGCCGAGGTTGAGAGCAAGGCGCAAAAATGAAAGCCGAACAGAGTTGTTTTGCACATCTTGAAGGGAATCTGCTTTTAAGAAAACAGGTGTCAAGAAGAAAGACTAGTAAAAATGACAAAAAGCTGTAATGAAAATGAAAAATATATTTAAAAAGAGGCCTTTTACATTCTTATTTCTTTAAGCAGTAAACAAGTGGATTGATATATAAACGAGGGAGATAATCCGTATCTCATGATATAAAAGTTATCAAAAATCCTTGACAAAATAAATGACATCAAATGCAGGAAAACAAATAACAAACAAGTTTTATCAGCTTTAAAAGGAAAATAATAAAAGTATATGAAAAATGCTGAATTTCGACTAATCTCTTGTCTTACAATTGTTGTTTGGCAAGATAAAGAGACGTTATCGTCCGTCATACGACTGACAGTATCAGAGCAAGGTATCAGTTCCAAAACTATTTTAGGCTAACAAGTCAAGAACTCATCGTCATATCCCTTTATGCTCCAAATATGCTCTAAATTTATGGATTCTAATAAAGCATCGTGATCTGGTCAGTTACTGCTCTACATAAAGCTAGAAGATGGCGCTTGCGCATTCTCGTGCGTGCATGAGTTAAAAGGTGAAAAAGGTATAAAACCGACAGTAATAATTGCAAGTAATTATAAGACAGTGTAACTGCTGTGTATGTGCGTATTTAAGTAAGCCGAGAGGTAAAGCGTGACTGTATTTAAACCATGACTAAGAAAAGACCAAAACATAAAAATTAGAAACTAGTATCCTTATCCATTTTTATTATGGAATTAATATTAATATCTCTCTGGTAAATTAGGAAAGAGAAATCAACCAATCTATCCTTATCATGCTGCTAAACTACAAAGGAATCATCCATATATTTAAATAATGGTTTTAGGTTTAATCCTACCCCTTTTATGAAACGTTCATCCATTTAATACATTTAATACATCTAGATAAAAACCAAACATAATCCAACTTACAGTACTTGTTCCTGTTCATAAAGCTTAATGTTGAAGATATGTCAGTATGTAATATTCAAGGATAAGAAAGTAATCTTGGAGCTAAATCATTTCTTAGATTTACACCCTTAATAATATCTAACTATTATGACATAGCTACCGGAACGAGAAAACCATATATTGATGATGTTTTAAAATCCCTTTAAGGAAGTGAAATGAGTTTCCACTTCTATGTTCCTCCGTTGTTTACACAAACTCTAAATGCTTCCATAAGCCAGTTGTTAAGACCATCAATGAAACCCTTTGCCAGGCGGTTGAGGCAAGCACCTAATTTTCTATCTAATATTGTTGGATAGACTTTCATGGAGTGCATGAATGTCATCTTAGGAGATAAATCAAAACCCAGTTATTCTTCGTATATATAACTTGACACAGTCATGACGAACATTACACCAACCTTATATTCCCTCAAAGAAATAGATTAGTTTGATTCAAAGATCTGCAAATGACATAAAAATCATAATATTACTATGAAAAAAATATCCTATAAAAATGAGTAATCACTTGTTTTTATCAGCTATTGTTAGCTTGACCTGGCAGATAATGTGCTGCATTAAATAATTCAAACAATCTGAAAGAGGAAGTTAAAGATAATATAGAAAGTAATTTCTTGTTTTGGCCAGGTAATTATTTCAATAGACTCTTAATATTTAAATACGTTATGGATATTTGTAACAAAATAATCTACTTGTTTTGAACACAGATAAGTGGTGAATAGTTTTTCACTGAAAGCATTTATGAAAAAATCCCATTAAGAGTCTAAAGATCAGGCTTAGGGGAGCAAAATATAAATGAAGAAATGAAAAAGAAATTCACTTCATCATATGGACACCAGGGCACTCTCAGATCATGCTGTTCCGAACTACACAAGGCATGAAAAAATCTGAAATACCTGCAGCAAAGCAGGCGAGCACATTAGTTCAACCGGTGTTAATAGAAGAGGAAGAAGACAGGGTGGCCCTAGTGAATAAAAACAAAAGACGAAATATTGAAAAATGAGAAAGACTGACAGACCCATAAGAAGCGAATTCACGTGTGCTTGATTCTGAACCGGCCGAAGCAAATAGAAGAGGTCATGGATAAGAGGCTTTGCTAGAAGCAAATCAGGTTCCGGCATCTCTTTACCCAGGCCGCTTGAATAAGAAACCGTATCAGCTGTAGTTTTGTGACCCACCAACGGCCGATTACGTAGAAGACCACAAGCCAAATGAGCGTGAATCTCATTACGAGAAGCATGAAGTCGAATGAAATCTTCACTGTGCCACTGGAAAGGGCGGCCAAATAAGGCGCCACAACGTAGAGCAAGTAATTGAGGAAGAAATTGAGCGAAATGCATATATAAGTTAATAGCCACTCTTAAATTGAAAAATACATATGAAGACCGAAATGTCATCTGTCCTGGTCGCAGTCTCCTTTCGATGTATATAATTGATCTAACCTCGTTTCGCAACATGTTCGTTTAATCAAAAAAACCTAGTTTGACGTACTTTGTCCGAAGTCCTATGCCTTAGTAGGTATAATAATACACATGGTCGGACCGTAGACTTGATGTATTCCCAGACACTTCGCTAGCAACGTAATAGGCATCGTCAGTAAGTCATGCACGTCTTAGCACCAGGCTACAACTCTTCAGGGACAAGTGAATTCAATCCTTTGGTCAATTCTCTATCGAAGGGTTGTGTTATCACTCTTCTTTCTGTCTGAATATGTCTATCTACTATCTACCCTAGTATTTAACTCCATCTATGTCACGACTTCTGACTTGTTTATAATCGATTCTTATAGGGCGAATTAGGCGGGGGCGTTATCGCATCCTGATTATCTTGCCTCTCCTTTAATCTTGATTTGCCGGAATTGCTAATCCGATTTGGACCACTTATCCTTATCTACCTCATTTCCCTAAAGATTCATGTCCTATCTTTCTTGTTAAGTGATTCCATAGATCATTTGTGCAATTCAACCCGTTTATCTTGAGCAAATAATGAGTATATCTCCGGAATCCTACCGCATCTCGAGTAGATTTATGGTCTATTTTGCTCTGCTCTAATAGCCCTAGTGCCAAATTCCCGTGACTGCCAGGCCCCCGAAGTTGTAATTGTTTCTTCTGGCAGATTATTCTAGCCGAAAACGTGTTTACTTGATTTCTGAATGTCCCTCATTTTCTTTTTTCTTAGGATCCCTTTTTCTCCGATAAACGATAGCCCCTAAAATAAGGCGCCTCCGTTTTGTTGGTCTTGCTGTATCTGTGTTTATTTCAAGGTTGCTAAAGCAATAGGCAAAGTTATCGCTAACTCTGCCCTCTTCCAGTCTCCTGTTCATTAAATTTATTTCAGTAAGGATGCTAAATGCCTCTCTAATCTTCTCTTATCTTGTGTATTCGGAACACATTGTGTACATGATAACAATTAGAATGCAGCATAAAGAAGGGCCTCATACAGTAAAAAAAACAAGCAAACGTAAGATTAGAAGCCATTAATACACTTAATGAAAGAAATGTAGTGAACAGGAGATTGCAAGAAGGCAGAGCAAGCGACGACTTTGTCTAAAAGGAGACGCCTGGATCGAAGATGAATCGTTAATAAGAGGAAAAGTGATCGCAAGGAAGAAGAGTGAGTAAATACCGGAAATAAAGCAAAGATATTCTCAGTGAGTGTAGTCTTCCTGAAGAAACGACTACTACTTTTGGGGCCTGGAGGTCACAGGGCTGGGGAGACGGATAATCAAAACCATGAGAGAAACTCGGCATTATAGCCGAATTGAGCAGAAAAACATTAAAGGCAGTAAACGACCAGAGAAAGACGCCCATAATCTGCTCAGGGTAGACGGGTTGGACCAAGGAAATGAGCAGAAGGCAATACCTTGCATATGTAAGCATGGGAATCATAATGTAGGCGTTTGATCAATGAGGCTACAATATCGGTGCTATGAAAAGCTTGAGAAATAGCGTATAAGAGTATACTAAGTCCATGGTCCAACGCAAAAA